CAGCCGCCTGAGGTGCATGATTCGGACGACGCCGTGCAACGACAAGTTCCCGGCGGCGAGAATGTTCGACAACGACGTTGCTGATGCTCTCTCCGCCGATTGCGGGCGTGTGTTTTCGGCCAGGCAGCGCGCCCGCATCGCCTTCGCTGTCAAGCAGGGCGGACTTGGTCCCCTGACGGCGGCAGAGCGCGTAGACGCGGCGTACGTCGCGCCCTGGATTGCCACCCGCGGACTCTGCGCCGGGATCCGCTCAGAACACCGTGCTTTCGGTCAAGGCCGCGACCCGCTGCTGCGCGCGGCGGTGGACTCGCTGGCCCCGAAACTGCCCGACGCGAGTGTGCTGAGCGAGCACTCGGCTTCTGGCTCCTATTCCTCCCTCCCCCGCTCGTCCCCTCGCCTTGCCCTTGCGTTATGATGCTCCAACCTACTTTAGCCTTGGCCACCAGAAAGACTTCCGAGCGCCTAAAAAAGTACGGAAACTCGCTGGTTCTCACGTGTCGGGCCCTGGGAGACACCCGCCCGACACTGTTTCGACACTGTTTCGACACTCTTTTGACACTTTTTCGGGTGCTCGAAATTATTTCTGGGATGTGGTCCTTATGTAGGGTGGGAACAACATAACCCTTGCGTTCCCTTGCCCCTGTGTCTTGTGCCTCGTGTCTCCTCCCCCGCCCTCTTCCCTCCCGGTGGCTGCCCTCCGTCTCCCTGTCCCTCCGTCTGTCGGCCAGGTCTGTCCTCTCCTGTCGCCCTCCCTCGTCGTCCCCCTCTCGTCGTCGATATCTTCCTCCTCCTCCTCCTCCTCCTCCTCCTCCTCCTCCTCCTCTCCTCCTCCTCCTCCTCCTCCTCCTCCTCCTCCTCCTCCTCCTCCTCCTCTCTCCTCCCTCTGTTCCATGGCCCCTCGCCTGTCCGCTCGCTCCGTTTCCTTCGCCCGGGCCCGCTTGCCCCTGTCGGCCCGAGCCTTTGGTCCGAGCAGGAGCCGTGCGGGCATTTCTCTCCTCCGGCGGTGGTTAGCATTCCCATTCGTAGCATCAGTATGTCTATGTTCATTATTGTCATGTTTGTATTGCTTACTCGTTATTGCTATTGTTGTTTTCATGTTTTACTTAGTGCTCATTATGGTTGTTGGTATTCTTACTCGTTTCGTCCTCGTCCATGGCCCATGGTTTGCACGAGATCGCCAGGCGAGTAGCCATGTATGCTGGACTCCAAAAGGCGGCGCTCAGTCGTTCAGAGTTCACTGCGTGGCAGCAGCGTCTCGGTCACCGACAGGGCCGAGGCGTCCTGCCCAAAGCTTGCAGGGGCACGACGGAGACCGGCAAGAAGACATCAGCCGCATCCCGAAGGGCCAGCATCCCCTGCCCGGCGTCGAGCATGGGATTCGCACTGCCGGGGCACTGGATATCTAGGTCTTCTGGATGGGGTCGGAGTAGATGGGGTTGGGGGATCGCGCCGCATCGCTGATGCATCGCCGATGCTGCTCGATGTGCAGCCCGATTTGCGTCGCGTCGACGTCGCCGATGCATCGCCAGCGTCGACGATGCATCGACGATGCATCGACGATCTATCGCCGATGTGGTGCGATCCTCCGACCCCATCTACTCCGACCCCATCCAGGAGGCCTCTAGGATGGCGGGCTCGAGGTCCTTGGGGGGACTCTCTCCCCGGTGGCGGAGCTGCTCGCTCCCCGCGGTGGTGCCCAGGGCGCGGAGCGAGGCCCATTGGAGCACGCGGGGCCCCTCTCGTGGGGTGGACTTGCCACGAGGGTTGACGTCTTTGTGGCGCTCCGAAGCCGAGGTTCGGGGCCGCGGGAGGTCCGCGCGCGAAGGGGTGTTCCGGAGGGGGGAAAAGCCCACAGACACGAGTGATCGTCGGCTCCCCCGAAGATATGGGAAGCTGTGGGAAGTGGGGGGGCGACAAAAACCGAGAAAGCATGGGGAAATGTGTGGGGGGAAGCCTGTTATTTGTGTGTGTGTGTGTGTGGGTGTGGGTGTGGGTGTGGGTGTGGGTGTGGGTGTGGGTGTGGGTGTGGGTGTGTGTGGGTGTGGGTGTGTGTGTGTGTAGTTGTGTGTCCTTGAGCCCCTTGATGGTGACCCGTCGCCACATTTCGGCTTTCGAACGCCCCTTCCTGTTGGGCCCCAGGGCCCGCTGGCCTGTGTCTTCCCGTGGCCGCCCGCCGCTTCGCGGCTGGCTGTCCTGTTCTTCTGCGCGTTTTAACGGGGCACCCCTCGAGGAGCTCCTGCAGCTAGCGAGGACAAGCGGTGGCGACCGCAAACCCTCTCGAAAGCAGGTCCTCGCGGCTGGGTGTCCTGTTCTTCTCCACGCTTTCACGGGGCACCCCCCGCGGAGCTCTTGCAGCTGGCGAGGACAAGCGGCGACTTCGAGAGGGTTTAACCCTCTCGAAGCAGGCCCCTGGATCCCTCCAAGGGCACCAGCAAGCGACGAGTCGGGCCCCGATGGGGGTCCTGCAGAGAATGATCGAGAGGAGGACGAGGGCGAGGGCAGGAGAAGGATGACGATTGAGGACGAGGTGAAGGAAGGGGAGGAGCAGGAGGTCAGGAGATCGATGGTGACGACGACGACGCCGACGCCGAAGCCGAACTCGGTGCCGATGCCGATGATGATCATGATGTTGATGCTGATGCTGATGACGACCATGGTGAGGATGGTGATGATGGTGATGATGATGATGATGGTGGTGGATCATGGTGACGACACTGATGATGATGATGATGATGATGATGATGATGATGATGATGATGATGATGATGATGATGATGATGATTTTGATGATGATAGTTTCGGTGACAATGCTGGTGATGACTGTTTTTCTGATGATGATGATGATGATGATGATGATGATGATGCTGATGCTGATGCTGATGGTGGTGGTGATGGTGATGCTGATGGGCGATTGTTGTGATGGTGGTGATGATGATGGCGAAAACGAAAACGACTACGAAATTGGAAACGACGACGGTGAGGACGTTGGTCATGATGTTGCTGATGATGATGATGCTGATGATACTAATGATGAGGGTGATGATGATGACGACGACGATGACGATGATGACGATGAGGAGGAGGAGGAGGAGGAGGAGGAGGAGGATTAGGTTGAGAATGAGGATGCTGATGCTGATGATTTTGATGACGATGATGATGCTGCTTATGCGGATGATGATGCTGATGATGATCCTGATGATGATGCTTATGATGATGCTGATGATGATGCTGATGATGCTGATGATGCTGATGATGCTGAGTATGATGATGGTGGTCATGATGGTCATGATGGTGATGATGATGGATAGGTGGGGATGGCGATGTTGATGGTGATGGTGGTAGTGATGATCGCGGTGGTTTCGATAGTGATGTTGGTGATTGTGATGGTGCTGGTGATGATGATGTCAATGCTGGTGATGGTGGTGGTGACGGTGGTGACGGTGAGCATGGACAAGGAGGAGCAGGAGGAGGGGAGGAGGACTGATGATGGATGGATGGAAGGAGGGAGCGACCGCAGGGGCCGCTTTGATCGGCAAAAATGCACTCGTGGACCAGCGCGCGCCCTCAGCTCGGAAGAGCCACTGCAGCGCATTTTTGGGCGGCGCCCGCTGCTCTCGTCCGAATCGGCTCGATGCCCCGACCCGTCATCGAAAATCAATGCTGGCATTCATCGGCCCCGCCGGCGAGCGAAGACCAGCCAGGCCCCGCCCTGCAGCCATCGCAGCCTCCCGCTGCAGTCGGATTCCGCCCCCCGCCCGCACGGTAGTCGAACTGCGGCCCGCGCACTCAGGCGGCAGCACTCCGAGGCAACAACGCAGCCGCCCGTCGCCTGAGAACTGGCGCGCAGCCAGCCAGGCTGCGCAGTAGCCGCGCGGCCCTCAGAGGTAGCCCTCCTCGATGCGTGCTCTCGCCTCCTCCAGTGCCCTCCGAGTCTCGGCCAGATCTGGCCCACCCCTGGCTGGATGGCGTCGTTTCGACCAGGGATGGTTCTTTCAGGCTCTTGTAGAACTCCTGATCCACAAAGCTCGAGCCAACGTCAGAGAAGGATAGACGGTGTTCATCTTCATGGCTTGAGTCTGGATCGCACGGATGCGCGCGCATTGTTTTGCATTTGTTCTTGCGGTTGTTCCACCGCCCAACTCCAGTGCTGGAAGCTCGCAGCTGTCGGCCTGATGGACGCAGAAATTGTGTCCGCCGTCGCACGGCGTGACGAGCCCGTTTTCGTCACGGCCGACTGGCTTAGGCAGCCTTGCTTCGCTTGCATGAGCTTACCGAAGAAGTCCCCGAGGCCGTCGCTAGTGAGGCAGCTGTCGACATCTCCCATGCAGGAGCTTCCACCAGCCAGCCGGGCATGGTCGAGCTGCCTCTCCATGAAGGTTTCCTCGTTGCGTCCGCCCGGGCCTGTGGTTGGCCCACACCTTGCGGTGCCGGCTGGCCCTACCTCGAGGGCGCCCTCTAGGGCGCGAGGTTATTCGCGCTTCGCGCTTCGGCTCCGATTCCTCCTCGTGCTCCTCTTCTCCCCTGGGAGGCGGCACGAGAGCGCGAAGTTGTTCGCACTTCGCGCAGCGCGCAGCGTGCAGCGCGAAGTTGGGGGAGCCCTTGGGAGTGGCGCCCTGTGGTTGGCCCACACCTTGCGGTGCTGACTGGCCGGAGCTGAGCTGTTATGTTTTTGATGTCATTGCTTGCTCCCCTTCCTGCGGGGCCCAGCGCGGATCTGAGAACTCTGCGCGGAGCTCTGAGTTTTTACAGTCGGGGCGCTGAAGAAGGAACCTTTTTCGTTTGGGAGGGGCTCCGTGTTCCCTGGTTGTTTGACTGTTTGCCCTAGTTTGACCTTCGGTGTTTGAATGGAAATCGAGGTTAAACGTAAGGAAAGAAGGGGCCTCGTTCCTTATTTATCGCTCCTTAGGCCAACGCCCCGACTGTATGTTTATGCCATTGTTTGTTCCCCCACTTGCGGTGCTGACTGGCCCTGCCTTGCCCCCCCCGACCCCCCCCCCCGG